AAATCTGCAATAATATGTGGATATATTTGTCAACGGACAGCTTTGCTGTCCATATTTATTTCCATTTATTTCTAGATCTGTTACCATATTTGTTTCCTTGATTTTTGGTTATTTTAATTAGCTTAATATTTGACAGATTGTATAGGGATAATATTAGCAGATACGTAGCTTTTCTCCATGTATAGAATTCTTTTGTACAGTTTATATAATAGAGAGAAATCACAAGGCCAGCCATTCGGCCATTCATACAGCATTTTTGACTTATTTCTGACATAGTATCAGAGCAAGGTTAAAAAAAAAATTCTTCTCTTGGTTTTGGTGTTGCCGGCGTGAATCATTTTCTCTTTTCGATTTCGTGTGTCGGTGTCTTATGAGTCTCGACAGCACATCTCGGCACCTTCTGGTTCTAGTGTATCAAGCACTGACGTCACCGCTTCGTGTTTTTCAGTATTTTGTTTCTAAGGAAATCTTCGTTGACATTTTTCTAGGCATTTTCTGGGCATTTTCTGTTGGAGTGGTGTCCTTCGGTTATCTCTATTTAAGGTCCTTCTCTCGGTTCCTTTATTTTTTTTGGCTATTTTTTGCTTTGTCTCGGGTTCCATTTATTTGCAATGGACGCTGCACCAGTGTGTGTCAAGTTTACAGGCAAAAATTACTCTACTAGGGCTTTTTAGTTTGAACTTTTCCTCAAGAGAAAAGACCTTTGGGGCCATATTGATGGCACGGATGTTGCACCAACATCCGACACTAACAAATCCAAGGATGTCGTGTCTTCTCCTTCTTGGGCTGTGTTTGATGCTCGAATCATGTCTTGGCTTCTTGGTTAGGTGGAGCCACATATCGTCACCAACTTGCGGGCTCATCGCTCCACTCAATCCATGTGGAACTATTTGAAGAAGGTTTATCATCAAGATAATGATGCTCGTCGCTTTCAGTTGGAACATGCGATTGCCATGTTTCAACATGGTAGTCTTTCCATCCAAGACTACTACTCGACATTTTTTACTCTTTGGCATGAATATACTGCTTTGGTTACAGCAGATGTTCCTGTTGCTGCTCTTTCAACTATTCTGAATCTTCACAAGACTAGCCAGCGTGATCAGTTTCTTATGAAACTACGCCCAGAATATGAATCAGTTCGCTCCTCTCTACTGAACAGATCTCATGTTCCCTCTCTTGATATTTGTTTTGGTGAGTTACTTCACGAAGAACAACGTTTTAGTACTCAAGCTATTCTGGAGCAATCTCATGGCAGTTCCGAGATGGCAACTATGGCTTATGCTGCCCAAGGACGTGGATCACCTGTGACTTCTAAAAATCTGCAATGTTTCTACTGCAAAGAATATGGGCATATTGCTGCCAATTGTCCTAAAAAATATTATTCTTATTGCAAGGAAAAGGGTCATATTATCAAAGAATGTCGTATCCTTCCCCAGAATCGTCAAGCCCAAGCATTTCAAACTTTTGTTGTTGTTCATCCAACAGCAACTTTTGTAGCACATAGCTCTTCCTCAAGTGCTCCCTCTGATCTTGCAACTCCTGCAGCCACTTACTGCACCCCTAAAATGGTGCAACAACTGCTAATTTCAGCATTATCTGCGATGGGGTTTCAAGGTAAAAATTCTACTACACTCTGGTATGTAGACTTGGGGGCTTCTAATCACATGACAAATACTCCCACAACTCTGTCTCATGTTCAGCCCTATGTTGGCCAGTCTACCATTCAGACTTCCAATGGCAGTTCTTTGCCAATCACTGCTGTTGGAAATGCCTCTTCTACATTTACTGATGTGTTTCTTGCTCCTCAGCTTTCCATGAATCTTATTTCTGTTGGTCAATTAGTTGATAACAATTGTGCTGTTAATTTTTCTGGTGATGCTTGTGTTGTGCAGGACCAGGTAACGGGGGAACCGATCGCGAAGGGACCTAAAGTAGGGCGCTTGTTTCCACTATTTTTACCTGTTCCAGTACTTTCTCCAGTTTCTTCTATTAAGTCTTTTGCTTGTAATAATGTTCCTGATCTGAGTATGATGTGGCATCGTCGTTTGGGCCATCCCAATACTCAAATCATATCTCACGTATTGAACTCTGACTTTCTTGGTAATAAAGAACGTTCTTCTTTATCTCTTGAGTGTGATTCTTGTAAACTTGGTAAAAGCAAAACTCTTCCATTTCCTTTGCATGCTAGTAGAGCTTCTCACTGCTTTGATCTTATCCATAGTGATGTTTGGGGACCTTCCCTAGTTAGTTCACATGAAAAATTTAAATACTATGTGACTTTCATTGATGATCATAGCAGATTCACTAGGGTTTATTTTCTTCGCTCTAAATCTGAGGTTTTTTGTACTTTCACTAAGTTTCTAGCGTATGTTGAAAATCAATTTTCTACGAATATTAAGACATTACGCACATATTCTGGTGGTAAATATTTGTCTACTATGTTTCAGGCATTCTTGGCTTCTAAAGGTATTATCCATCAACGTTCATGTTCTGCTACTCCCCAACAAAATGGAGTAGCCGAACGCAAAAATCGTCATCTTCTTGATATGGTATGTACTCTCTTGTTAGAATCTTCTGTTCCATCCATGTTCTAGGTTGAGGCTCTAAAGACTGCTACTCACTTGATTAATCGTTTACCTTCCCAAGTTTTACATATGGAGTCTCCCTATTTCCGCTTGTTTGCTAAGCAACCTCGTTACGATAATCTTCATATCTTTGGTTGTGTATGCTTTGTTCATTTACCTCCTCATGAGCATCATAAATTATCTGCTCAATCTGTTAGATGTGCATTCTTAGGATATAATGTGTGTCAAAAGGGATTTGTTTGCTATGATCCTACATTACATCATACAGTATTTCTAGGAATGTTATTTTCTTTGAAAATCAACATTTCTTTCCTGTGTCATCTATGCCCTCTTCTTCTACTATGGTCCTCCCCTCCTTTGAGCAACAGTTCTCAAATCTTCCTCAAGTCAGTTCTCGCTTTAAACCAAGTGTGGCGTATATGAGACGATCCAGCCCACAGTCTCTTCCGGTGGCTCACCCGATATCTGATCCTAACATGCACCGGAATCAGTCAGTTGTCACACCTCCAGAGCCTTTGGTACGTCGCTCTTCTCGAGTGTCTGTACCCCCGGATAGGTACGGGTTTTCTTTTGGCACTTCTATTTTAGCTCTTACTGTTGCATTGTCTAATTTTGATATTCCCACATGTTGTCAAGCATGACTGTTGGCGACAAGCTATGCATGAAGAAATTACCACTCCAGAGGCCAATCACACTTGGGACATTGAGTCTTGTCCTTCCACTGTAGTTCCTCTGGGTTGCAAATGGGTTTACTCAGTCAAGGTTCGCTCTGATGGAAGTTTGGATCGTTATAAAGCTCTGCTTGTTGTCTTTGGGAACAATCAGGAATATGGTGTCAATTATGAGGAGACCTTTGCTCCTGTGGCTAAGATGACTACTGTTCGTACGATCCTAGCTCTTACTGCTTCCAATGATTGGCCACTACATCAGATGGATGTTAAGAATGCTTTCCTTCACGGGGATCTTAAAGAGTGTATTTATATGAAGCCACCCAAGGGATTGTTTCCCTCTCCAACCTCCAATGTGTGTAAACGTTGTCATTCTCTTTATGGTCTCAAATAAGCTCCGCCGGCTTGGTTTGATAAATTTTGAACCACTTTATTACAATTTTCCTTCAAGCAGAGCAAGTATGACACTTCATTGTTTCTTCGGAAATCAGACATGGTTATTGTTGTCCTTTTGGTTTATGTTGATGATATTGTGATCACTAGTTCTGATTCTACTTTACTTGTCTAGCTCAAGACCCATCTCTTAAAATCCTTTCATATGAAAGATCTTGGGTCTCTCTCGTATTTTCTTGGTCTTGAGGTGTATCGTAGTCCCTCTAGTATTTCACTAAATCAACATAAGTATGCTAGTCATTTGGTGGCTACAGCTAGACTGCAGGAAGCTACCTCTATCAATACGCCCATGGAATTAAATGTTAAGCTTCACAAATAGGAGGGTGACTTACTTATTGATCCCAGTTTATATCGGAAATTGGTGGGTAGCCTTGTCTATCTCACCATCACTAGACCAGATATTTCTTTTGCTATACAGCAGGTCAGCCAGTTTCTTCAGACTCCTCGTCATCTTCATTTGGCTACTGTCCGTAGGATCATAAGCTATGTTCATGGCACTTCTGCCCGTGGCTTATTCTTTCCTGCAGGCAATTCACCTCGTCTTGTTGCTTATAGCGATGCTGATTGGGCTGGTTGTGTTGATACACGTCGCTCCATCACTGGTTGGTGTGTGTTCTTAGGTGATGTATTGATCTCCTGGAAGAGTAAGAAGTAAGACAGAGTTTCAAAGTCATCTACAGAATCTAAGTACCGAGCGATGTCTCTTGCTTGTTCCGAAATTATTTGGCTTTGAGGTTTGCTTGCTAAGTTAGACTTCTCTAAAACAGACCCTACACCTTTACACGCCGATAATACAAGTGTTATTCAGATCACGGCAATCCTATCTACCATGAGCGCACAAAGCATATTGAAGTCGACTGACACTCTATCCGTGAAGCTTTTGAAGCTCTTGTTATCACTCTTCCACACATTTCCACTGAACTACAAATTGCTGATATCTTCACCAAGGCTCTCACTCATCATTGACATTGCTTTCTAAGTAGCAAATTGATGCTTGTTGATTAACCCGCATCAATTTGAGGGGGGCTGTCAACGGATAGCTTTGCTGTCCATATTTATTTCCATATTTGTTTCCTTGATTTATGGTTATTTTAATTAGCTTAGTATTTGATAGATTGTATAGGGATAATATTAGCAGATACATAGCTTTTCTCCATGTATGGAATTCTTTTGTACAGTTTATATAATAGAGAGAAGTCACAAGGCCAGCCATTCGGCCATTCATACATCATTTTTGACTTATTTCTGACAATATTAGGACATGCAACATTAAATTTCACAAGACCAAAAGGGATACTGTCCAGTCACAAAACCTCAAGAAAAGAAGAACGACATTGGTAATTTAGCTGCTTTTCAGCATGCTTGATTTGTTCCTACAAAGAAAGTACAAGGGTTTAATATCATGAAAATGCAAAGGATTAATACCTCGACAAGTTGAATCCTGAAATACTTGAACCTCACCTCATTTATGCGGGAAAAGAGTCGCGCAAAAATACAGGGAGTTAAGCCTTGTTGATCACTTGATAAGTTCTCTTCCAACAAGGCGTTAGCTGGTCCCCACATGGTATAAGTCTTTCCACTCCCTGTCTGGTGTAATCAATTTTTAGATACATGAAGAAAGCTAATGGGATAATTACATGTAAAATAAGATATGAGTGGAGAGGAATCAAAAGCAAAATAAAAGGTACCTGCCCATAGGCAAACACTGAACTGTTAAATCCAGCTAAACAATTTTCAATGAGAGGGCGTCCAACAAGCTGGAAAAAATCCAGCTGCAAAACAAACCTATATTTGAGCACCTTTTGGTAATAATGCAAATAGTCAAGTAGAAAAGAGATAATACCTGTGTCGAATCAATGTCAGCAACTGAATCAAATGTGAATGTCTGTCCATTGATTTTCAAAGCATCATTGCCAACTTACTGTACCATCATCTCCCCTTGTTCCTCTTCCTTATTTACAGGTCGCATTCGCACTATCACCTAATCCACACCATCCAAACTAGAGACATTAGAATCTACTATGTATACAGTTGGGCAGTAAAACTACTTAATAACATTCAAGAATATCAGCAATATATAACCTAGTATTTATTTTTAACCGTGTACGTAAATCTCCAATTTCTCTCTCTCTCTCTTCTAATATAGAACAAAAAAAAAATAATAAAAAATAAAAAATAAAAAAAGAACTCAACAATTTCTCGCTTTTCCTCACAATAACAAAACAAAAGCTTTAAAATTTACATTTTCTCAAGCTTGAGTCACTTTTTCCCCAAATACTGTCAAAATTTAAAAAAGATAATATCAAATAACCACTGAAAATAAGAAGATCGATATAATTACTTGAACACCCAAGTCGGGGACCCCAACCATTACGTTCTCGAGAAGTGTATCAGTGGCGAGCTTGCGTTTGAATGGATTGGGCGAGCGTAGGGGCAGTGGACTCTTAATCTTGGAAGATGCCTGAGAAGGTGGAAGAAGTGAGTTCAGATCTAACGGTGGAGCGTTTTCTTTGGATAATTTTTGCTTCTGCAATGACTTTAATTTTGAATTAGGGTTTGGAGACGACGAAAATGGTGACTCACATGAGTGGGTCTCTCTCAAGATTGTATTTCTTGGCTGCATGAAGTGCTTCATTCCGATCAGTAAACTACAGAGAAAGAGAGAGAGTAGGGGGCAAGATTGCTGAGATTGAGAGCGTTGGAGACAATTAGAAGAGGGGAGGAGAGAGAAATGTAGCCGTTAGAGAAGGGTAGACTTCTGAAATTTGTAAACAGAGAATGAGAGTTGATTATTCACATTGTGGGGAATTTATACCCACAAAAGGAATAAGAATGTGAGGATCAGAAAAAGGGAAAAGTTGTTTTAAAAGCGTGATAATCAAAAAAAGAAGAAGGTTTTGATTGATTTACAAGAGATGAAAAGAACATGGTCGCCTCAAAATAAGAGGGGATGCTCGTCAGATCTTGCTGTGTTGCCAAGAGAGGGAAAGTTGTTTTTTATGTCCCTTATGCACATTAAAACTTTTCTAATATGTTTATATCCTCAAAATTTAAAAATTTTTTATTATAAATATAATTTTTTGAAGAGACATGATTATAAAATCCAATGCCTAACACTTGGATCAATTCTTCAATAACTGATAACAGTACCTAAAATGCTTATATTCTCAAAAGATTTTAATCATATAATTAAGAACAATCTAACAGCATTACATCACATCTTCAAAGAATAACTAAACTTCAAAAATAAAATAAAATTCACAAAGCATCTTAACAATATTAAAGTTATTGACATTAATTACTGTTATATATGATATAATAATAAAAAAAACCTTTGGAGGTTTTCAAAATAACAAAATCTCCATGGTGTTGATAAATTATTAGTAAGACATTAAAACTTACATTGTTATAAGTTAATAAATATACTGTCATCAATTACCCTCTTATAATTAATTTTTTATTTTTTATAACCGAGGATATCTAGACCAGTTTACGCACACCTCAACTAATCTTCCAAACCTTAAAACTATCAATCAGATAAGAGTTCCAGTAATTATCTCTATTAACAAAAGCGAAAAAACTCAAACTCATAACTTCTTAAGTAATAGATGTAAGAGTCTTTATTGAACCGTTTGGTCACCCAGAAATAGTTTTCTATAAGTTACTTTGATACGTATAACTTAACGGCAGAAAATTTCTTTTATTTTTGAAATCTCAAGATAATTTTTATTATTATATCGTAAAGATTCAAGATATTAACTCAGATATTGAAGTAGTAATTGGAACTAATGGAGGTTGGCAAGTGTTGTTTTAAATGGAAGGCGCAATCAATTTATGATTTTGTCCGTAGCTGATGTGGATGAGAGAATATCGATAAATTAAAATAGAGAAAAATAAAATAAAACTGAAAATACCATGGCTTCGTTTGGTTGCATTTTGTGAATACTACTTTTAGTATTCCCAAAAAAGTTAAACAGTAAAATACCCAAAAACTCACAATATTATTCAACTTTTTTTAAACCTCCTAAATTTGTTAATTTAATTAAATATCCCTAAATATTTTTTAAAAAATTGCAAAAACACCCCAACAATCTACATTTACCAGATTCCGGCCACCACTGCCAGAAAATGGCCAGAATCTGGTAGGATGGCGCACTACCGGTTGAATCTGGCTGGAAAAGGCCAGATCTAAGGCCGTAACCAGTCAGTAACGATGGCCAACAAACGGTCGTCATTGACCATCAACGACGACCGTTTGTTGGCCATCGTTAACAAGCAAATACGGCCAGATCTGGCCGTCAATTGCCAGATCTAGTCATCAATGGCCATATCTAGCTGTAGATCTAGCCTTTGCCGGTCAGATCCACCGTGGATCTGGCCGGAAAAGGCCATATCGGCGCACGACCGACAAGATCTAGCCAGTCACGCGCCGATACGGCGACTCCGGCCACCCTCCGGCAGTGGTGGCCAGCTGTCCGTATTTGAGGGTGGGTTGGGGGTGTTTTGTTAACTTTTAATGTTTTATTATAGGGGATATTTTGTAAAAAAACAAATATAAGGGGTATTTTATTAATTTATAAATCCTACATTGTAATACCTGCCCAATTCAACTTTTTTTTAACTTTTTTCAAAAAACTTTTCTCAAAAACACAAAATTGTGAACCAAACGGAGCCCATCATTTTAAAAAAAGTTAAGTGGATGGTTGGCGTCCCGCCAAAAAACGAAGGTTACGTGGCACGTGTTTGAGTGTAGTGAAATTTGTCACTACCTTCTTTATTATCAATTAATGGCCCCTTGCCAACTCATGTGTTCTGAAAAATAATCATATTGTAAGGTCTTTTTAATTAAAAATTTAATCTAAATAATTCCTATACTATGTAATTACATTTTTATCCAATGAATTAAATTATTAATCACATTGTTACAATGTTTATAAGCTACAAAATTTGTTAAAAAAAAGTGCAATAATAATTTTATTTAATTGTGAGTAAAAGAATTATTTATTCACACAAATATGTATCAAAATACATAAACATTATTCATCTCTACCCAAATATAAGACCTTTTCTTGACTAGGAAACTTAGAAATGTACATTGATGAAATAAAACTTAGAAAATGGATCAGAAATCCACTACTACAAAAGAGTATCATGAGCATGCGTGGAAAGAAACCCAAAATAAGAGAGACAATATGGCATGGACAAGCCTTAAAAATCAGGATTATCTTCAAGGCCCAATTAAGATGGATAAAGAAAAAAGAGGTGTCCTCGTAGGGAAGTCTATTTTTTTTTCTTTTTTTTTTTCGACTATTTTAACCTTAATGAAAATTACCATAAATGGTGTAATAATTTCTAATTACACTCATTTTTTTTTTTTTAATTTTAACATTTAATTATTGCACAAACCCTAACCCAAAATTTTTTTAAATCATTGAAGCATTTGTTTTATTTAAAATACTTACTCATTTGATGAAAATATATTACTAATGCTATGGAGAAAACAATCACATAACAAAATGAATTTGAATCTCAAGAAGAAAAAATAACTTTCAAATTTGAGTTTAGGAAAAAGGGTTGTAAACAGAAATCTAATTAAGTTTGAAATTTAGGAAAATGAGTTTTAAAAAAAAGAAACTAATTAGACGTAATTATGCAAAGACCATTTTCAATATTAAATGAGGTTTAAAGAGATTTAAAAAAATAAATAAATAGAGATTTATTTAGTAATGTGGATACTGATCAATTTGATAGGACTAAAATCCACTTCCCGTGCTTAAATTCTTTTGAGACAGAAGGCCAGAGAGATGCAAAGAACTTGATCTTGTCCCTTAGGGTGTGTTTGGTTCAGAGAATGTTGGATTCTTGGGAATGTTAGATTAATGGAATGTTAGATTACCTTGAAGATTATTGGGACTCTTTAGGAAAATGTGTTGGTTAATTGGAATAAATTGATAGATATATTATATTAATACGTTTGTTTATGAGGAATAAATTAGTGGATATATTATTTAAATTACTAAATTGCCCTCTTTTTAAATATTAATATAATATTATTTTTATTATTAATTTTTGAATAATTTCTTTTAACCCCCAACATTTCAAATTTAGCTAAAACACCCTAGCTTATATAAAACTTTAATTTATAAAAAAACCACCCCACCGCCCCAAGCCATTGCGTATCACCACCATCTGTCGTCGGAAGTCGTCGAAAGTCGCTAAAAATCGTTGGGATTCGCCAAGAGGCTCCGATATGGCCGTTTCTAGCTATATTGATGGCCGAAAATAGCCATGTCGAAGTAGATCTGGCCGAAAATTGCCAAATCTATTCTGGCCATTTCCGGCCAAATCCATGGCCTTTAACGACCATATCTAGGCAACATATGGCCTTTAACGGCCATGAATCTAGCCTTTAATGGCCAAATCTATTTTGACCAGATCCATCAATCTAGCCAAAAATGGTCAGAATAGATCTGGCCATTTCCGACTAGATCTACTTCGATATGGCCATTTTTTGCCATCAATATGGTTAGAAACAACCATATCGGAGCCTCTGGGCAACTCTTAGTGACTCCCGACGACTTCTAGTGGTTGGCCAGCTATCGGCGGTGATGGCTGGGTGGTGGTGGTGGTCTACAATTTGTTTTGAATTCAAGGGTAATTTTGCCCAAAAACTTAATTAAATAAGGGTAAAATTGTAAAAGCCAAATTAATGTAAATTGATTTTAAAACAAGGGCATTATTGTTCAAAAATTTTATTAATAAGGAATAAAATTGT